CATTTATCTGTTTACTACAGTCTGTTGGATTCATGTTAATGTGGATTTAAAGACATTTCAATTAGGGGGAAAAACTGCAGGGAGGAATATATATATAAAAAAAAAGTCTAATCCAACCAAAACTTTCGCGACCCTCATGCAGTACCTCCATGGACCCCCTAGGGGTCGTGGACCCCCTGTTGAAAACCTCTGCCCTGTAAGATTCCTTAATGCTTTTCCTTAGGGCTCTCTCTGTCACCTTGCCAATTTAGCCAGCGTAAGTCCGACGTCGCGGAATCTCCTAAAACGCTGGCATAAGCTGAACTTTCAATGTATTTCTTTCAATTTTGGACGTATACATAGCGTATTCATAACAAGTCCAGACCTTATGTCCAACGACAGCCTAACTAGATGATGCGTATGATGATACTGCCCACCAAAAAAATAAAAAAATAAATAATAATCAAACAGAAAAAGAAAGAAAGGGCAGCAGATTGAGCGTCATGTCTTCAAGGAAGTTTGTTGGTGGTGGGCGTGAACGCAGGGAGGATCCTTCACGCTCTCCTTCTGGAGATGGGGATGAAGTCTGGAGGAGAAGTTACTCGTAGGTTCTGGATAAGCTGGACGCCACGACTTATGAGTAACTTACACTTAACGTATGTCAACGATCAGATAACTTACCTGTAACTTATGCCCCTCCTTTTGGCATACGCTGGGACGATGTAGTCGGCATACGTCTAAGTTTGCCAGCGTGTTTCAGCGTCCTCCTAACTTATATAAAACGTACCCATAACTTATCCAACGCATGCCAGCGTTTTGGCCAGATTTCCTTCCGTCAGTCATACGCTGGTCTAAATCGTCAAGGTGTGACAGGAGCTTTAAGCTTAAACGCTTTGGTGTGCCACCAAAGTTTGTATGTAAAAAAGTAATCAACCCCCAAAACCTAATCACTGCTTGGAAAAGTCCTGAAAAGGCAAAGTAGTATCAGATTTTAAGACAGTTTTGTCTCCTAAGTGCTAAGAATTTTTTCCTAAATGTTTTAGGGATCATCAAGATTTTATTCTAGTAAATGTCAGACACGTCTTAGAGCTAATTTTGGTCTGTAGCAGTTCGCAGTTAAGGAGTCCTCCATGCAAAGGAGCGCTGCAGTTAGATGATGAAATTAGTTGCTCTGTGAGCTCCTGAATGAGTTGTTTATTCCCTGCTGATGTAATTACATTGTCTGGCCACTAGTGATGAGTCAGGAAACACAGATGCATTGATGCATGCATTGAGCTAATAGAACAAAAACCAATGTCAGTGCCTGCATTGTAATATGGAAGTCACCAATACAGGAGCTGTT